ATTCGTCATTGCAGTGGAGAGAACGGGGTTCGAATCCCATGTTTGATCAAGATTATTTTAGAGCTGTAGGGCTACAAGTCACTGCATTTCGTGTAAAATGTTCGCCCGTTCAACGTTGCTACCTGCAACAAGCTGTGGATTCTGCAATCTAGGGAGTGTAGAGTCCTCTTTTCTACTAGCAAGTCTTGTTTGTAGAATAATGCCACCAGACCAACAACGAGCTACAAGCGACGGTGACACGTCATTTTGGCTCAGCCATGTTCAGCGCAACATGATATCTACCATCAGCTGCACACAACAACAATAATATGCAGTGGCGGCGAGTAGTGAAGGTCTCACTGGTTTGAGCCCCCCTCTCCACTCCCAGCTCTATCCCAAAGCAAATGAAAGTTTCTTAATTAATAACGAAATAAGCAGTTGAAACCGTTGGTGATCGCACGCAATGAACACAGAGTGATCAACTTTGCACCTTGCTCGTTTATCCAATCACTGTTATCACCGCTTACAACTATAGTAACCTAACAGCCAGTCAAATGTCTTTAGGGATCTTAATGAAACACCCCTTGTAAAAAGGTAGAGGACTTGAAAAAAAAAGAACACTGCACAGAGGGCTCACGCTCTCTTTGCCCTAACAATGGAGTGAAAGTTTACGACGCACTTTCCCAAAGTGACACAGTTAGGTGTTGTCTACTTTCCTCGACTACAGCTCATAGACGGAATATGTTTGAAGTGGTGTTTGTGCATGGTTGTGTTAGTGCCGCTGAGATTTAACAGTTGTTAATCACACCTAGTCAATTTTGAGGCAACTTTTTCATCAGATGAAAATAATTAGAGAAATTTGGAGGTGAAACTGCTTCGTCCCCGCTATCCAGAAGACTTACCTAGAACAAAGAGAGGGAAGACAACGGTGATTCTTTTCGTTTAAATGGTTCTCAAAATGCCGTGGCTCGCCGCGAGTATAGTATCTTATTGCTTGCTATTTGGTGGTAAAGAAGTGGAGGCAACCTAAGCCCCACCCAAATTTTGGTCCACCCACCGCTACTGATGATATGCCATACTGTCTCTTCGTACTTTTGGCCTACTACCTTCTCAAGAATGTATCATCAACCCCCTACTAATCAACACGTGTGGCTATAGTTTAACGAGAAACATTACCTATTATCGGTAACAACATTTTGTTAAGAACTTGTTCCCTATTCCGTATTCATGTTTTGAGGCAAAACTATTTTTCATATAGATAATAACTGTTGTATAGACCAACAAGTAGATATTTTTAAAAACATAAACATCAATAAATAGCATGCTTACGTGCGAATTCAGGGAATTCTGTGTGTGACTTGAATTTTGTGTGTTTACAACTTGGAATCGGAAAACAGGAAGCAGCGAAAATGGCCATCTATATCAAAACTAGCTGGGTACCCCGTTCAATGAACGGACTCAAGTTATTGTGGGACCGCTTGTGAACGGGAGCCTCACTAAAATGAGACTGCGAAATTGTTGATCCTAAGTTAGCCTAGACCTAGAACTCTGTGTGGACGAAACAAAGCATTTTGGAAAAATCGTGGAAAGCAGTTTGCGTGGATTTTAAAATAGTTAGGACCTAGTCACATGGATGCTGTGGACGCCTGCAAAGTTTCAAAGGTGTGGGTTAGGTAATAAGGGAGGAGTCTGTGCACAAAGCCTTCACAGTCCACTTATATAAATTATAGATAAGTTTTCTTTCAGTGCTAAAAAAAGACAGTACTATAATTTTATTGAGCAGGCCCGAGCAAAGACGTGTCCGAGTTAGGTGCAATAATCCGACAAGAAAACTTGTCGGAAGATTTTTCGCTGGATTTTGGCGCAAGAAACCGACAAGATCCCTTGTTGTAAGAAATGAACGTGTAACTTTGTTGCAATAAAACGACAAGGGCTCTTGTGTGTATTTGGTCCAACTTGACACTGAGTCGATATTTAGCAACTGTTTATCTATGGGTCGTAGAGAGCTCATCTTTTGACACAATGTGGGCGATTACTCCAGTATCGAAAATCGCAAAAAACGACTTTTTGAAAAATGGCGCTTGTCGGGTTCTTGCACCCAGCCAGTGCGAGACAAGAAGATATTTCTGATTAATGAGGAAAACAAAATGTAAGTAACCAAGGATGCATCATCTAGTCTCAGATATGACGTCCCGTGTGAGTTAAGAAAGGTTGTCAGTCAAAGAGTTCGTCATACATTTCTGTACTTAGAGAAGTTTGGGGGACCAGCGTCCATGTGCCACAACGCGGTGGAATCAGACTCTCGTCAATTTTTTTGCATGAACAGTTATTGGTATCATCTTAAAGCCTGTTCATTTGTTTTGCTTTGGATGGAAAAAGTATTCATTTATCTTGATATTCATTTGTCTTGAAGTAAATTCAAGATATTTGCGAAGGAAGAACGTGTGTGTGTGTGGGGGGGGGGGGGCACCTTGTTTCAGGAGTGAAGTTAGTGAGAAAATGGCAGCCAAAGATGCGCTATTTCCTTAGCTTGAGATTCCATGAAAGCTGAAAATATACAATTTGTGTGCCTTCATTTAACATTTTTCAGTAAAAATCCAAACAGAAATATGTTCTTAAGGGGATGAAAGGCGTTGAGCAGAGAAACGAACATTCGATAAAAATTCACAAACCTGCGGAACAATACCAGTTTCTTCCGTTTGATTATTTTGATGAGCGCCTGATTTCACCACGCATCCCCGCCTTTATTCCCACCTACATGGGTAAAGTAGAGGCAAACAGAAGACATTCGACAAGTCTGTTGATGCTATGAAAATTTACAGTCAAAACGTACATGTGTCCAAGCTGACCACCATTGTCTTGAAAAAAAGTGATCATCTTAGACAAATGTTCTTCTTAGACAGTGTCGGTGTTATAAAGGAAAGAACGTTAATTGGGAGGTAGAGGAAGAGGAAAATGATCCGTTGTACATGTGATTCTCTTGGGCAGATGGTCGATAGAGCAAGGTCTACTTTATTTGAAGATTATCCATCGCTGTCCGGGCAAATCTTGAAAGTTAGTCTTAATGGTATGGTGTTAACGCCCCTTTCAACAATGTAAGATTATTTTAGAGGCAGGATTTCCAATTTGATGTCCAACCCATACAGGACCAAGCCAATACAATTTTGTTGAATGTTCTTGAAACTTCGCCAAAACAACTAAAATTCAAGAGAGCCAGTTTCAGATTCGAACAAGACGCATTTGCATAATACACCATTTAGTAAATTTGTCTGATAGGGTGCCAAAGTCGTATGTGGGATACAATACCCGAACCCAAAACGAAATAATGGATCCATTGGCTGACCCCGATTTTGGCTATATTACTGTCATCTAATGGGCCATAATGTTATTAACGCTCTCTGTTTATTGAATACCTTGGATCCCGACCTAGTTCTTTCCACTTTGTATGACATTGCCTGAAAAACAAAACAAAACAAAACACCCCCCCCCCCCCAAATCAATAAAAAAAAACAAAAAAAACAAAAACAAAATGCAATTACAGATCTTTCCGTTCTTGGCCTATATTCTTTGTCAGTCTGACAATTCCTTCGAATTTTTTCTCGCGTGTGTGTGAGTGGGAGGGCAATCCGGGGGGGGGGGGGGGGGGGCGGGGGTCTGTGATAATTATATCCACTATTAACACAATTAGAATATACAACTGTCATGTAAGTTGTTAGTTAACTCATGACTTCGGGCAGAAAGGCGTAGGAAAAAGACAATAATATAAAACAAACAAAAAAGCGTGCAAGAAATACTACGCAGAACAGAAACCAAAAGAAGTTTGAACAATGAGTCAAAGTGAACATTAAAAGGAAAAAAAAAGAACGAAACCGCCACAAGGAGAAGACATAAATAAATATTATAGTAAGTTTTGCTATGAGAAAAAGTAGGCTAAAGGACTGATGAAAGATTAAAAACATACGAAACAAAAAACGCATTAAAAAAGATTGTATTTCAGGGCGAGGAAATAGAGAAAGAAGAAAAGGATAGAAAATACCAATACGAAATTCAGTAGGAATTAAAAAATGTATTCTAAACCACATACATACATACACTCCAACACACGCTTTTAAACATACACACACGCTCTCTCTTTCTCTCTCTCTCTCTCTCTCTCTCTCTCTCTCTCTCTCTCTCTCTCTCTCTCACTCTCTCTCTCTCTCTCGCTCGCTCGCTTTCGCACTCTATCTCTCTCTCTCTGTATGTCTGCATGTGTGAGTGTGTGTGTGTGTGTATGTGTGTGTGTGTGCGTGTGTGCGTGTGTGCGTGTGTGCGTGTGTGTGAATGTGTGTTTGTTTGTGTGTAAGTGCGAGTGTGTATGAGAAAACAGATAACCGAATTCCCATATTCTCTATATCTATAGACCCTGGAGGTGTCATCTATAACTCAGAGGTTGACGTGTATTGACTCTCCATCCTTCATGGTCGCTAATTGCTGTTGTATATCTTTCTATATCCCGGCCAGTCCATGTTTTTATGTTGTCCATCCATGATACTCTTTGCTCTCCTGCCCAAAATCCTCCCCTCGAGCACCTCTTCACAGTGGTCTCTGTATCTGTTCTCTCTGGACTTCAGTGGCTAAGTGAGTGGATGGCTAGTTAATTAAGACTCAAGAGTCAAGTCAAGCCAGTGTCGGTGACACGGGGATCAGATGGGTGGTCACTGGGCTGTGCCCTTGAGTAAGACACGTCAACCCAAGCTAAAAGAAAAAAACCCAGGGCACTGCACAATGGCGACCAGCAACGGCACGATTGTTAAAATTGTTCTGTATTGGTGTAATATTGGGTATTTATGTATGTATATATAGTGTAAGTATATGTGCTTGTACTTATGTATGTATGTATTTATTTTGTATGTATGCATTTATAATAATGTATTTATGTTCGTATGTTTGCCATTGTAAACCAAAATGCTCTTCTGGTATCAATAAAAGTATAATTAACTTTATATATTTATTTTCTTATAATCGATCCCTTAGCAACATTCGGCCCACGAATCCTCAAGGGCACTGTGACGAACGGAGACATTGACGAGGCGTCAGGAATCGTCGTCTCGCGCACACACCATGACGTCATCTATACTCACAACGACAAGGGCGACAGTAGCAGATTCTTCGCTATCGGTGTAAATGGATCAAACGTGAGTAGACAATCTCAACAGATCAAAACTTTAAAGTAATTTTACTCTCGCTTTGTTTTAGATTTTGTTGGGGGGTTTTTTGTTTTATTTTATTGCTTTTGGTTTTTGTTTATTTCTACTATGATTATAGTTTTGATTTCTTTGTTTGGGTTTTTCAAAAGCTGTTTGCTTGTTGTATGTTTAACTTGTGTGTTTCTTAGTTTGCTTAAGTTTGCTTTTTTGTATTTTAAGGGCAAGGGGGGGGGGGGGGGGGGGGGGGTTGTGACACATCTTCAGTGGTTTTGATTGTCCAGTCTTTAGATATTCTCCCAGCGTCCTTCTAGTTGTCGTTCCTAGGTCATAATACTCTACATCCTGGGAGGACAACAGGAACCCATGATTTCTTTTACCTTGACCGTCATAATGCACATATGGCAATGAAAACCGATGCAGATGATAACAACTTTAATAATGATAATATAATTAATGCAATGGTGATGATGATGATGATGATGATGATGATGATGATGATGATGATGATAATAATAA